ATTTCCTTGGCCACTTTATCCTTTACGTCCTTAGCTCCTGCAGCTACACCATGAGCAGCATCTTGCACTTTTTCTCCTGCCTTCTTTGCACTTTCAGACACGGAATCTGTGACAGCTTTGCCAGCATCAGTTGCCTTTTGAACTCCATCTTTTACTGCCTCGCTGACTTTTTCCTTGCCATCTTTGACAGAGGATACTACTTTGTCTTCGACATCCTTCGCAGCTGAAGCAACTTTATCTTTAGAATCTTTCGCACCAGATACTACTTTATCCTTTGCTGCGTCTAGTTCCTTTTCGGCTTCTGCTGCTGCCGCACGAGCACGAGCTTCTTCATCAGCCGCTTCCTTCTTTGTTTCGTCAAGGAACTCTGTGACATCTTCGGAAACTTCATCGACAGCGTGCTTTACACCCTTGAACAGCCCAGATAGAAAACCACTGCCCTTCTCTTTAGCTTTCTTAGCTTCTTTAGCTGCTTTATCCTTTGCTGCATGCGCACTGTCTGCAGCAGAATCAATTCCAGACGAAACCTTGTGCTTTATTGCGTCAGTATCTTCCTTAATCTCTTTCGCCACCTTATCCTTGGCATCTTTTACTCCGTCTGCTACACCATGAGTAGTTTCTTGCACTTTTGACTTAGCTTTGTTTACACCATCTGAGACTGCACTTGTTATAGCTTTGCTAGAATCTGCAACCTTTTCCACTCCATGAGCTACCGTCTCGCTGACTTTTTCTTTGGTGTCTTTTACTGAAGATTCAATTTTGTCCTTAGCGTCTTTCAAACCTGTAACAGCTTTATCCTTCGCTTTTTCAGCTCCATCAGCTACATCGTGGGCAGCTGCTTGAGCCTTCGATTCCACTGCCTTTGCACCCTCTGCTATCTTTTCACCTGTAACTTTTCCAGCGTCGGAAACCTTCTGTACTCCTTCCGATACTTTGTCGCTAACTTTATCCTTGGCGTCCTTTGCCACGGCTGCAACTTTGTCCTTGGAATCCTTCACACCAGATATTACTTTCTCCTTTGCAGTTTTCATTTCTTTCATTGTATCCCCTGCTGCTTCACGGACACGAGCCTCTTCCTCTGCGGCCTCCTTCTTCGTTTCATCAAGGAACTCTTTCATATCCTCCGAAACGTCATCAGCTGCGTGCTTTACACCTTTGAATAATCCAGACAAAAAGCCACTGCCTTTCTCTTTAGCTTTCTTAGCCTCTTTGGCAGCTTTCTCCTTAGCTGCATGCGCACTGTCAGCGGCAGTATCGATACCAGATGAAACTTTGTGCTTGACTGTCTCCGCATCCTCTTTAATTTCTTGAGACACCTTATCCTTCGCGTCTTTTGCTCCTGTTGCCACATCGTGAGCAACTTCCTCAACTTTTGAACCTGCTTTCATAATACTGTCTGACATTGCATCACTGACAGCCCTTCCAGTGTCACTCACCTTTTCAACACCATGAGATGCTGTCTCGCTGATTTTATCTTTTGTGTCTTTTACTGATGTTTCCAATTTGTTCTTAGCATCTTTTAAACCTGCTACTGCTTTGTCTTTTGCCTTGACGGCTCCATCAGTCACATCTTCCACACCCGCTTGAACTTTGGATTCCACTGCCTTCGCACCATCAACCAATTTCTCGCCTGTAACTTTTCCGGCATCGGATATCTTTTGCACACCTTCGGATACTTTTTCGCTTACTTTTTCTTTGGCATCCTTGGCAGCAGTTACAACCTTATCCTTAGACTCTTTTACTCCAGAGACTGCTTTGTCCTTCGCTGCCTCTACATCCTTAGCGGTATCAGCTGCTGCTTCAAGGGCACGAGCCTTTTCTTCTGACGCTTCCCTTTTCGTTTCATCGAGGAAATCCTTTACATCCCCGGTCACTTCTTCGGCAGTATGTTTTGCACCTTTGAATAAACCAGAAAGAAAACCGCTACCCTTTTCTTTAACTTTCTTAGCTTCCTTCGCAGCTTTATCTTTAGTTGCACGAGCAGTGTCTGCAGCAGCATCAATACCAGATGAAACCTTGTGTTTCACTGCGTCAGCATCTTCTTTGATTTCTTTAGCCACTTTATCCTTTGCATCCTTTGCTCCCACTGCTACACCATGAGCTGCTTCCTGTACTTTCGAACCAACTTTCTTTGCCCCATCCGTTACTGTTTCTGTGACTGCTTTCCCAGTGTCAGTTACTTTTTCGACCCCATCAGATACTGTCTCGCTGATTTTGTCTTTAGTGTCTTTTGCAGAAGTTCCCAATTTGTCTTTAGCATCCTTTAATCCTGTTACAGCTTTGTCCTTCGCTTTCTCAGCTCCATCAGCGATACCTTGAACAGCTGCTTCAGTCTTGGACTCAACAGCCTTTGCACCATCAGCTAATTTTTCTCCTGCTGTTTTACCTGCATCGGAAACCATTTGCACACCGTCCGATATTTTCTCGCTCACTTTGCCCTTGACATCCTTCGCAGCTGCTGCAACTTTATCTTTAGAATCTTTCACGCCAGACACTACTTTGTCTTTTGCTGTCTCTAATTCTTTTTCGGCATCTGCTGCTGCTTTGTTTGCTCTGGCTTCTTCCTCTGCGGCCTCTTTTTTCGTCTCATCGAGGAACTCTTTCATGTCATCTGTCACTTCATCAGCTGCATGCTTAGCACCCTTGAATAATCCAGACAGGAATCCACCGGTCTTTTCTTTAGCTTTTTTAGCTTCCTTGGCTGCTTTATCCTTCGCTGCGATTGCAGTCTCGGCAGTAGCATCAATTCCTGATGAAACCTTGTGTTTAATTGCTTCACCGTCTTCTTTGAGTTCTTTGGACACTTTATCCTTTGCATCCCTTGCCCCTACAGCAACTCCTTGGGCAGCATCTTGTACTTTTTCACCTGTTTTCTTCGCTCCATCCGACACTGCGTCTCTGACAGCTTTTCCGGTGTCAGTTACCTTCTCCACTCCACGAGATATTGTTTCGCCGACTTTGTCTTTGGCGTCCTTCAGACCTGAAACAGTTTTGTCTTTCGTCCTTTTAGCTCCGTCAACTACCTCTTGAGTAGTTGCATGAGCCTTGGCTTCGAGCGTCATTGCACCTTCTGCTATTTTTTCACCAGTAGCTATTCCTGCGTCTGTGACCTTCTGTACTCCATCCGATACTTTCTCGCTTACTTTATCCTTAGCATCCTTGGTAGCGGCTGCAACCTTATCCTTAGAATCTTTCACACCAGATATTAATTTGTCTTTCGTTGTCTCTATGTCTTTTACGGTTTCTGCTGCGCCCTCGCGCGCACGTGCCTCTTCTTCTGCCGCCTCTTTCTTCGTTTCATCAAGGAACTCCTTTACGTCACCAGTCACGTCGCCAGCAGCGTGCTTTGCTCCCTTAAATAGACCAGATAGGAAGCCACTTCCTTTCTCCTTGGCCTTTTTAGCTTCCTTGGCAGCCTTATCTTTCGCAGCATGTGCAGTATCGGCAGCAGCATCAATTCCTGATGAAACCTTGTGTTTCACTGCATCAGCATCTTCTTTGATTTCTTTGGTCACTTTATCCTTTGCATCCTTAGCTCCTACAGCCGCGCTGTGAGCTACTTCTTGCACTTTAGAACCAGCTTCCTTTGCACCATCCGTTACTGTTTCTGTGACAGCCTTCCCAGCGTCAGTTAGTTTCTCCACACCATGAGAAACTGTCTCGCTGACCTTCTCTGTGCCATCTTTAACGGAGGACGCTACTTTATCTTTTGCTGCCTGTATTTCTTTCTCGGCTTCTACTGCTGCCTTCTTTGCTCTGGCTTCTTCGTCAGCTGCCTCTTTCTTCGTCTCATCAAGGAACTCGTGTACGTCCTCGGACACTTCATCAGCTGCATGTTTGACACCCTTGAACAGTCCAGAAAGGAAACCGCTACCCTTTTCTTTAACCTTCTTAGCTTCCTTGGCAGCTTTATCTTTCGCTGCATGCGTGCTATCTGCAGCAGCATCGATTCCTGACGAAATTGTATGTTTTACTGATTCAGCGTCCTCTTTGATTTCTTGGGACACTTTCTCCTTTGCATCCTTTGCTCCTACAGCCACACCGTGCGCAACCTCTTCAACTTTTGAACCCGCTTTCTTTGCACCGTCAGACACGGCACTTGTGACAGCCTTCCCAGCATCAGAGGTCTTTTGCATACCTTCTGATACTGTTTCGCTAACTTTCTTCTTGGCGTCTTTTAGAGAAGATTCAACGGTGTCTTTAGCATCTTTTAAACCAGTTACAGTTTTGTCCTTTACTCTCTCAGCTCCATCAGCCACATCATGAACAGCTGTTTGAGTCTTGGACTCAACAGCCTTTGCACCATCAGCTAATTTTTCTCCTGCTGTTTTACCTGCATCGGAAACCATTTGCACACCGTCCGATATTTTCTCGCTCACTTTGCCCTTGACATCCTTCGCAGCTGCTGCAACTTTATCTTTAGAATCTTTCACGCCAGACACTACTTTGTCTTTTGCTGTCTCTAATTCTTTTTCAGCTTCTGCTGCAGCTTTCTTTGCTCTCGCTTCTTCCTCCTCCGCCTCTTTCTTCGTTTCATCAAGGAATTCATTGACATCCTCGGAAACTTCGTCAGCTGCATGTTTTACTCCCTTGAACAAACCAGACAGGAAACCACTGCCCTTCTCCTTAGCTTTTTTAGCTTCTTTGGCTGCTTTCTCTTTAGCTGCATGAGCAGTGTCTGCAGCAGCATCGATCCCTGATGAAACCTTTGCTTTTACTGCTTCGGTATCTTCCTTAATTTCCTTGGAGACTTTATCCTTTGCGTCCTTAGCTCCTGCAGCTATACCATGAGCAGCATCTTGCACTTTCGAACCAGCTGTTTTTGCGCCATCCGTCACTGTTTCTGTGACAGCCTTCCCAGTGTCAGTTACTTTCTCAACACCATGAGATACTGTCACGCTGATTTTGTCTTTGGTGTCTCTTGCAGAAGTTTCCAATTTCTCCTTAGCGTCCTTCAAACCTGTTACAGTTTTGTCCTTCGCCTTCTCAGCTCCGTCAACGATACCATGCACAGCTGCTTCAGCCTTGGATTCAACGGTCTTTGCACCATCAGCTAACTTTTCACCGGCAGTTTTACCAGCGTCAGAAACCATCTGTACACTGTCCGAAATTTTTTCGCTAACTTTGTCTTTGGCGTCCTTTGCAGCTCCCGTAACTTTGTCCTTAGAATCTTTCACGCCAGATACTACTTTATCCTTCGCTGCTTCCATGTCTCTCATGGTTTCCGCTGCGGCTTCGCGTGAACGAGCTTCTTCCTCTGCAGCTTCTCTCTTTGTTTTATCGAGAAACTCTTTTACGTCGTCTGTTACCTCATCAGCCGAATGTTTGGCACCCTTGAATAGACCAGACAGGAAGCCACTTCCTTTTTCTTTAGCCTTTTTGGCTTCCTTAGCTGCTTTATCTTTCGCAGCATGCGCACTGTCAGCAGCTGCATCAATTCCTGAAGAAACCTTTTGCTTAACTGCATCAGCATCTTCTTTGAGTTCTTTGGACACTTTATCCTTGGCATCCTTTGCTCCCACTGCTACACCATGAACTGCTTCCTGTACTTTCGAACCAGCTGTTTTTGCACCATCCGTCACTGTTTCTGTGACAGCCTTCCCAGTGTCAGTTATTTTTTCAACACCGTAAGATACTGTCTCGCTGATTTTGTCTTTGGTGTCTTTTGCAGAAGTTTCCAATTTCTCCTTAGCGTCCTTTAAACCTGTTACAGTTTTGTCCTTCGCCTTCTCAGCTCCGTCAACGATACCATGAACAGCTGCTTCAGCCTTGGATTCAATAGTCTTTGCACCATCAGCCAATGTTTCGCCGGCTGCTTTACCAGTATCGGATATTTTCTGCATCCCGTCTGATATTTTCTCGCTTACTTTGTCCTTAGCATCCTTGGCAGTCGCAGCTACCTTATCCTTTGAATCCTTCGCGCCCGATATTACTTTTTCTTTCGTTGTCTCTATATCCTTCGCGGTTTCTGCTGCTGCTGCACGTGCACGTGCCTCTTCCTCCGCAGCCTCTTTCTTCGTTTCGTCAAGAAATTCATTAACATCCTCGGAAACTTCGTCAGCTGCATGTTTGACTCCTTTGAATAATCCAGACAGGAATCCACTTCCTTTCTCTTTAGCTTTTTTAGCTTCTTTACCTGCCTTGTCTCTCGCAGTATGCGCACTGTCAGCAGCTGCATCAATTCCTGAAGAAACCTTTTGTTTAAGTGCATCAGCATCTTCTTTGATTTCTTTAGACACTTTATCCTTCGCATCCTTTGCTCCCACTGCTATACCATGAGCTGCTTCCTGTACTTTTGAGCCAGCTTTCTTCGCACCATCTGTCACGGTATCCGTTACAGCCTTTCCGGTATCAGTTACCCTTTCAACACCATGAGATACCGTGTCGCTGATTTTTTCTTTACTGTCCTTGACCGAGGATGCTACTTTGTCTTTGGCATCTTTAGCAGCCGTTGCAACTTTGTCTTTAGAATCCTTCACACCAGATACTATTTTGTCCTTGGCTGCCTCTACTTCCTCTTCAGCGTCTGCTGCTGCCTTCTTAGCTCTGGCTTCTTCTTCAGCTGCCTCTTTCTTCGTTTCATCGAGGAATTCATTGACATCCTCGGAAACTTCGTCAGCTGCATGTTTGACACCCTTGAATAATCCAGATAAGAAGCCACTGCCCTTTTCTTTAGCTTTTTTAGCTTCCTTCGCAGCTTTATCCTTCGCAGTCACCGCACTATCCGCAGCTGTATCAATTCCTGATGAAACCTTTGTTTTTACAGCTTCCGTGTCTTCTTTTATTTCCTTGGCCACTTTATCCTTTACGTCCTTAGCTCCTGCAGCTACACCATGAGC